AACTACTTCATCAGGAACCAATTTCCCTTTCTCCATGTATTCCTTTGCTCGCGTCCCATTTTCAGTCCCAGCAGAAATTTCAGCCCGTAGTAAATCTCCAGCGGAAATGTGCACCAAACCATACTGCATGGGCAGAAGCACACATTAAAGACAATCACGTAGAGAGGGAATCCAATTAGCCATACTATCATGAAAAGAAGTATTAGTGTTACAGTACACCTGGAAAAATATAGTGGTATATTCAATTGTGTCCCTTTAACTGAAGGATGAAACATACAGTGGCATGATCATTGATAAGTTTTGGCCGGCTAAATCTAAACCTAAATATTTCTACAAACAGACCACAGGAATCATTCACACCCAAACCCATTCCCAATTTCAATGCCTCATCCTGCAAAAAACTAAACCTCTACCCAATAATTTGTGTTATAGCGTTCCAAACTACCCCACACCACATACATTTAGTGGAAACATCCAGGAATTAAAGCGAGCGGAGAGAAAAACAGAATTAGCATTTACTTTTTTGGAAATGAGCTCACATTGGGTGCCTTTCCCCGAAGCCGGAGCACCAGATATCACGATCCTCAAGGGTTCCGCCTCGCTCGCCGATGCAACAACCTTTTCGCTCATATAATTTCAGACGAAATAAATTAATGGAAGAATCAATTTAAATCGCACTGAACCACTAAACAGATAATCGAACGCTGGTCCTGTACTTGCATACCGAGAAACTGGGAATGTTCTGTTGCGAAGCTCTGCTATGCCGAGGCCGCCGGAGTGTGATTTGATCCAAATGCAGAGTAGTGAGCTTTGAAACTGAAGGCGCAGTGAGGCGTAGCTGAAGACGATGAGGTGAAGGAGGAGAAAAGGAAGAAATGGGCTTGCTGGTTGAAGCTGTGAAGCAAGGAAAAGAGCAGCTGCAAGCCACCATTTTACTGTCTTGCCACTTGTCCGGGAATGGGTTTATCCATATTTATACTCGGGGGGGTTTTAATCCAATCCAATAAGAGAGAACTAAAGTGACTAAACTTGAGGTTTGTTTGAGTAAAATGCATAAAGGTTCCTCGAACTATTATCACCATATCATTTTGGTCCTCGAACTATTAAATCTATCATTTTAATCTTTAATCTATTTCATCTATATTAATCGAGTCCTTCCGTTAAATTTGTCGTTAACTTTGACGGAAGCTAATTAACTTATTAACATCTCATAATTTTAAACATTTTGGAACAATACAATCATTCTTAAAATTTAAGTAGTTAATCTAGTTTTTTTTAAATGTACATATATGTACACATACACATATAAAAATTATAAAAAATGTAAGGGCAAATTAGCCCATAAAATTTATTTATTTATTTATTTATTGTATAAAATATTACGAATTTAAATATGGAGTATTATTTTTGGGGGGTGACTAATGAGGTCATGTATTGAGAAAGTGGATGAACTTTAGTCATACATAGTTTTTTTCTTAATATAATTAATATATAATAATAACAATCACCCTCGTTTTCTTATTTAATTTTATCTGCTCAGATGTATGTAATTGATTATTTTATTCTCTCTTATATACTACGTAGTACGTATTGTTCAGGCCGTACATTTAATTTTATATTATTTATTTATAATTTTTATGTGTATGTGTACATATATGTATATTAAAAAACTAGATTAGCTACTTAAACTTTAAGATGATTTTATTGTTTCAATATGTTTTTTTTTTTGGGAAAATGTAAATATATAGATAGTAACCAGAGTTATGTACATCATATGAACAAAATTGGAGGCATATCCAAGTATGGATACCCTATACATCCAAAGCATCCAAGGCTTAGTATCTAAAGTCCATCATCTAGCAAAAAACAACCATCAAATCATGACAAAAAATGAGGCTAGTTTATGATTCAAAAAGGGATCATGTGGTACGGATATAAGGAGTATAGCACTCTGTACACCATATATTTGATGTGTGCAACCATTTCATCCATCTTTAGAGTAGCTCCATCAAAACGGATTGCATTACGGGTTCTCCATATCCAGTAGATTGTATAAATATGTTTAAAATTATGAGATGTTAATAAATTAATTAGCTTCCGTCAAAGTTAACGGCAAATTTAACGGAAGGACTCTATTAATATAGATGAAATAGATTAAGGACTAAAATGATAGATTTAATAGTTCGAGAACCAAAACGATATGGTGATGATAGTTCAAGGACCATTTATGCACTTTACTCTTTGTTTAATTATAAATAAATGACATAACACTCAATTGAGTACGTCAATTTGCATAAAATGGAGTAATAAGTATTACATTATATTGCATCTAACGTTTCTCAATACAAAAACTTGGTTTTTAGTTTTAATTGATTACCTTGTTAGATTAACACTTCAATATGACTGAGTTGTCTAACAGAATGCTAATAGTTTGACTTCTTAAAGGTCAATGTCCGCCCCCAACCTCTTGATCGACTTCTGCTTGGTCGACGTCAGTCCCCTGCTAATCGACTTCCCCGTGGTCAGTGCACCCCTTGCACGTCGACCTCTGAATGTCAACTTTCTCGTTTTAGTTGACTACCTGAAGGTCGATGCCGGAACTTTGATCGACTTCCCCTTAGTCGACTACCGCTTCTTACTCATCATTGTGTTAGCCAATTTAGTCATAATGTATTAATCTAACAAATGTACTCAGTTAACACTAAAAACATGAGTTTATGTACTTACGAATATCAAATGCAATAGAGTGTATTCTTTACTCCACCTCATACAAGTTGATGTACTCAATTGACTCTTTCCTCGTAGTTAAATACAAAAAATTGTAATAGTGCATAGTCATAAGAGAACTAAACCAATTGTACTAACATATTGAATCTCATTCATTAACTAATCGAGCCCAAAGTCTCTTTTTTAAATCAAATAACTAATGGCAGACTTACCTAAATAGGACTAAATAAAAGGATAATTGCAACAATAGGAGTTTAAAGTTTAAATTCCCAAAATAGGACTAACTCTTCCTATTCTACCCTTTCCTTTGTGCTTCCTAATGGGAATTTTTAAACAATCATTATAAAATATAAAAAATCAAAATAAAAAAAAATCGTAAAAAAAATTAAAAATATGCAGACCTCAACCACCACCACACCCACCTTCTAGCACCGCCACCTCCGGTCTCTGGAAAAGATTGCCAAGTTGGGGAAAAAATGCAATCATGATGGCAATTTTGAAGAGAAAGCTGGATATTTTCAAAGAGTAAAAATGTCATCTTCATGGCATTTTCAGTGAAATGTGGCATGTTTTACACAAGATGGCACTTTTTCCGACGATCGGATCTGGTGGTGCTAGGGGGTAGAGGACGTGTTGACAGTGACCTACATATTTTATAAATATTTTTTAGGTATTTTATTTATTTTTTATACTTTTTTAAAGTTTTTAAATATTTTATTTTGATTTTAAAATTTTTATTTATTTTTTGTTTATTTTTTCACATTTTTATTATTAATTATAAATATTTTATTATTTTTTATATTTTAATTAAAAATAAAACTATGATTTTTTTATTAATAAAATAAATCTATTGGAAATTATAGGAAAATGGTAGAATGGGAAGAATGGACATATATTAGTCCTATTTTGGGAATAAAGGAATTGTACTCCTATTGTTGAATTTTGGACTAATTTTAGTCCTATTAAGGGCTAATACCCGATAACTAATTTATTCATTAAATGATAACCAAGATACAAGCGAATGAATAGCATAAGGCTACAATAGGATGTGACATTGAACGGAAAAGATTCAATGAATCCTTTCAGATCGTTAACCCTATAATAATGTAATTTAAATGGGTGTCAAAGTCTACAAGCGAATATATAGATCAAGGCTACAATGAGTCCCAAAATCTTATATACTCATATACTTACTTGTGTTTTTATCAAGACTACAACGAGTCCCAAAATCTTATATGCTCATATACTTCTTTGAAATTCTTATAAGACTCTAAATTTGTGTAAGTTTGGAGCATTAGATCATTCTCTCTCATATACTTGTGTTTTTTATCTATTTATAAAAAACGATTTCGTTTTAAATAATACTCCCTCCGTCCCGTTGGAATGTTCTTGCTTTCCTTTTTTGGATGTCCCGTTGGAAAGTTCTCATTTCCCTAAATGGAAAGTTATCCTACATCAAAACAGGGTCAAACAGTGCAAAACCGTGTCAAACAGTGTCGAAACAGTGTCAAAACAGAAAAATTTACCCCCTGGTAAGTTTATTTCCTTAATATGTGTGTAGGTCAAACCGGGAACATTCCAACGGAACGGAAGGAATAACTTTTATAGTTTGTATATCATAAATTGCTCTAAATAGGAGTAAAAACGTTTTGAAATTCCAAAATAGGAGTATAATGTGTTTTATTCCCTGAATAGGAGTAATCTGCCAAGTTTGGAAAAAATGTCATGTTTTAAAGTCTAGTAATGCCAAACTTGGCATAAATTTACTCTTATTTCAGGAATAAAAAACATGATACTCCTATTTTGGAATTTCAAAACTTTTTTACTCCTGTTTAGGGAATTCTCCCTACCCTTTGTATATTACACACAATAGAGTACATATAGAATACAATTTTGAAATTTAGGTCTTCTAAATTATGAAGTCCAATTATGTAACCCTCTTTGCACATCATATTATCGATGAGACACTAAGAGCATGCTAACAAGTCACAATCAAAATAAGTAAGTTTAAAATTATTTCTCTAACTGAATATCTGTAGAGGACAATTTTAGATATTTTTCATATAATCTTTTCTTTACTTTATTAATAAAATATATTTTCAATATAATTTTTTCATAAATCAGCGAATCCAATCACTTCAGCAAAACTTCATAAATTTTTGTACAATCCGTCAATTTCATTATTATCAAACTGACTTCAAAAGTAAAAGAAGTAACGGTTGTATCTTTTTCATGAGTCGGGATTTGCCAGTTCCTATTGCGATCAGATGGTGTTTAGATTTTCTTTTTCAACAATGATGATGCTCATACAAAAGTTATTCGAAACATTCTATAATAGATACACATTGATGACAAATATTTTTTCATTTTTGTAAGAAAAATGGTCGGTTACCATCAGAAAGTGAATTATCTATGCCACACAAAATAATTCTTTTCAGAATCACACAGTTTTCTTAGCAAAAAACGAAACATAATTGTCTAAGTAAAGATGAAAAAAACGGGCGTGTAAATGAGCGCATAATTCATTATATTTCTCCCTTGATATCTTTCTAGTTCCGAATCTGGGATGATGTGTCATCATTGTATGGGCTGTATGCCACAAGTTGGTCTTCGACTACTGATAGCACACCAGGATATTCTGCAAATTAAAGTCAAAATGAAATTCGAATTACGTGCGTGCTATATACGGAATACTTTTATATTGATTGATGGTACAAGTATTTAATTTGTTAAGTAATGCCCAAATTAAAGTCTGCAAGAATATTATTAAGTACGTGATTAGTACATTTATCACGTGATTGCAAATTATAATTAAGAAAACAACAATAGTTGCTCAAATATATTGTGACACTCGGATCGTAAATTAAGTCTAAAATAAAAGAAGGCTTACTAGATAGACGAGATGCCTCTTCAGGAGTGAGTATAGCTACAAATCCTTGAGTAGCATATTGATAGACATAAAGTAACGCCTTCTTTGCTTCAACCTCACTTGAAACACCATCCACCATACACATGTGTAATTAGCCAAGTGAAACATGATATAACTCGAATTAACAAAAGGGAGATTTTCCAAAATAGAAGTATAGTACCTGCCAAAAAGAGAGGTCAAGATTTTAATATAGTGAGTTTGAGGATTTTCATCAGGCTTTTCAGTGAGAACAATATATGGTTTTGAATAATCTAAGGATGAAACAATAGCTATTGTTGCACTTAAAGTAATCACTATTAGGCTAAAAAATAAAGGAGTGAAAGCTGTAGGGCGTGACATGATTATATTTCAGCGTCTTATTGATTTAGCTTTTGGGATAATAAACTTTAGATAAATGAGACTATGGAGGTGAGGTATTTATTTAGGAGTTTGAGAATTTAATGAGGGCATGTAATGAATTACAAATTAAATAAACTACGATAAACGTATATCTAGCATTGAGGGAAAATATGAGTTACGTTAAATTTATTTGAGATATTAAAAGTTAGTTAATGTTCATTAATCCCCTCCGTCCTAGGCTCCCAGCCAATTAATTAGGTATATTGGGTTGTTACTTTTCATAATAGTTCGATTAATACTTCACATTAATTAATGTATGTATGTTTCTTTGCCTATTACTTCTAAAATCATGCTAAATTTAAAAAAAAAAATCTCTCAAAATATACCCATCGGAAAATAATTAGATTTTTTTCAAAAATATTATTAAAATAAAACTTATTTATAATGTACTGTCATTATAATTTAAGTTTAAAAATTGAACATAAGTTACTATGATATCATTACTACTATAGTCACTACTCACTAGTCACTTTTTTGTAAATAATCTTTATTTTAGTCATAAATATGTAACTAAAAGCAATCAGTATAATATTTAGGGAGATAAATGTATTCGGTGAATTAAGCTTGATCTTTTCTTCCAATAGTTACAAGGATTTATAATATAAAATGAGACAAGAATTATTCTAACAATGTGGTCACCAATCACCATGCCTGAATTTCGTGATTTGCGGGAGTGACGTGAATTAAGGATGGACTAGGAATCTAGGATGGATCGACCGGGCTCGATACTGTTCAGGCCCGTACCGGCGGGGCGGTACCAAGACCGGGGGTATTAGGGGCAGGCTACGGGATGCATATATGGTGGACCGACCCGGTCGATCCGGGCCCAAATTATTATTATTTTTAGTTTTTCTCATTCATTGGCTGCTAGGCGGGCGGGGTGATTTGGGTGGTGGGGGTGGGGGTAGGAATAAATTATAAATATCAAATTAAAAAAAAAAAAACTTAGACCCGACTCGGGCTCGGTACCAACCCAAACCGGTACTTGGCCTTCATCCCAAACCCCCAATCCTGCCCCGACCCGTCCTGGAGCCCGATCCAGGCCCAATCCATCCCCAACGTGAATTGTCCCGTGACCTGTGGGATTCATTATTGGGATATTGGCCATTGGCCATGTAACTTCCTCGAAGCAACATGTATGTGTAATAGAAAGGTGGCAACATGCCATATCATGCTTGATGTGCCATGTCTATATGCCCTTGCAGAGATAGTACAATGTCATGCTCAACTCGTCATTTCTATTTTCTACAGTGATAGCTTTATGAATGTTTTCTTTTAGACTGAAATTTGTTAAGTTGAGCTGGTCTAATAAATGTCTGGACATCTGGTCCCTAAGTATGACTAGGGTTGGACTCGGGTCCGGGCCGGGTCCGGGTCCGGGTCGAGCCTAGGCCCGGGCGGGTCAGAAATGATGGACCCGGGACCGGACCGGGTAACCACCGGGGCCGGGCCGGGCCGGGTCGGGTCGGGCCGGGCCCATTATATATATTTTTTTTTTGTTTTCCTCTTCCTAATTAACCCCCCTCCCACCCCCAACCCCCCAAACCACCACCCCAAATGGCCCAAAATACCCAGCCCAACCCGAAAAGTTAAAAAAAATTGAAAAAACAAAAAAAAAATGGCCCGAACCGGGCCCGGGCCCGGCCGGGTCGGGCCTTGTTTTGGGTGACCCGAGCCCGGACCGGAAAACCCACGGGCCGGGCCTACCCGGACCGGTCACTGACCGGGCCACCGGGTCGGGCCAGGCCGGAACAGTGCCGATCCCGGGCCGGTTCCGGGTCGGGCCACCCGGCCCGAGTCCATCCCTAAGTATGACCAACACTCCAAAAGAAAATACGTCATTCTAAGTACGTTGACCGTCTTTCTAGGCATGATGTTCTATCCATGCATATATGCCCTTGTAGAGATGGTACAATGTCATGCTCAACGGGTCATTTCTATTTTCTACGGTGATAGCTCTATGGATGTTTTCTTTTTGGACTGAAATTTGTTAGGCTTAACTGGTCTAAATCTAATAAATGTCTGGTCCCTAAGTATGACCAACACTACAAAAGAAAATCCTTCATTCTAAGTACGCTGACCATCTTTCTAGGCATGATGTCCTGTCCATGCATGCCCAATCGGTACGTAACCAGGCTTACTTGAATTGTGGGCCGCTATTTATGTCATTACTCTCATTTAGTAATTGTGACTACATTTAGAAAACTCAAAAATAATGGACCCAATAGTCACTACAAACACAATCAGTGGGTGGAACTGAAGTTCTTTAAGTCTGGGATACCATCAAACTTCGCAGGGCTAATAGTAGTAAAACTAGTAGCATTAGTCAGTCATTTACAAAAACAAAGAAAATGCTTTGGAAAAGGGAACTACCAAAACTGAACTAGGGAGGGCATTTCTCATCGATTATAGATGACAATTGACACTTGTCTTTAGGGTTAGTTAACTGTGCATACTAGTACTAGACATAAAAATTGTTCAGTCTTTAGAGAGTGCAATTTCAAACTACTCCCTCTTAGTACGTTTAGATTTGGCCTCTTTCATCCAATCAATGCATTCCTCTGCTGTCCCACTAGGATATGCAAGTTGCCACTCCAGCAATTTTTGTTGCTAAAAACGAAAAAACGAGGCCCGTTAGCTAGTCACTGGATTAATAAAAAAATAATACCGGAGTAATAATAGTACTGCAGTCAGTCCATGCAATTTTGGACGCGATTTTCACTATGGGTCATCCGGAAACATTCTCTTTGTGCTTTAGTACAGGTGTAAGACTGCGTACATCCGACCCCCCTTACCCCACCGTAGGTGGGGAGCCTTTGCGGCACTGGGGTAAATGAAAATGAAATGAAGTAATAATAGTACAGCAAGATTGTAAAATGTCATACCCATTCTTTTACAACTGGTCCTCCAGTTTTAATCTCCAAAATATTCATGATTTCCTTCCCATTCACCAATGGCTTAACTTCCCAGACCCTGTCTAGGCCTGTGGATCACAAGAAATTCAAGGAATCACAAACCACAAGTCAGTTTATGCAATAGGCATTAGACTTTGTATATTTACACATTAGTATCTAAAATGAAAAGAAAAAAAGCATGGGTAATGCACCAAACCCCTCGTGATATACAAATTCAACGCATTAGCGCATGTGATTTAAAAAAATGCATCAAACCCCCTGTGTTATTATAATTATTCATGCGCAGAGCCCACTTTTCTTAATATTATGATTAAATATGAAAGTAAAATTTATCAAAAATCTCTAAATTAAACAAAAACGTTAAGCATTTTTCTTTTATTTGACAATTAAATTTGTTCATAGAAGAGATTCTACGCATGATTAATAATAACATAGGGGGGTTTGATGCGCCGAATTTCAATAAGAAGGGGGTTTGGTGCATTAAACCCAAAAAGGATCTAAAATAATTGAGCCAATGAGCCTTAGCTTATCTTTTATTTTTCCAAACATCTTTCCTTCCAATTTTCTACTATGTTCTCCTTGCTATTTGGTTTGCCTTGTACTTTCAGGGTTCCAGACCGACCATAGAAGTTATTCAGAATGACTACAATCTAAACCCAGAGCTCAAAGGACACGAGAAGAGCATAGGATCATTAATAATACCTAGATTGAGAATGGTGCTCTCAACTGTCTTAAATAATTCTCTTCTCTTCTCCATCTCACAACTGTCATCTATTTCCAGATCCATGGGGTATAATAGCATGGAGAGAGCGAGGGAAACGCGCCAAAATTCTTTAACTTCCCGGAGCACCAAACCTGTCAATTGATAAACAAAAACTGAATTCGAAGATTGATTGACAGTACACAAGCAATGAAGCAAATACAGCATAGGCAATACTGTCCAAAAAGCATTAATATATATGAGTACCCCTGCATGAGAAGTAACAGCTATTCTTACCAATAAGTACTCTACACTTCAAAGCAACAGGAACATCGATGGTTTCTTTTTTCCAATCCACTTCAATAACTTCTGTATCTTCAGATGTAATGTACCGAATCAGTGATACAAGTTTTTTTGTCGCGCTATGCAAGCTCAAGACCTGCAAACATGCCATATTTTTAACTAACACTTAAATTACGATCGCTTTTTTCTAATAATGATATTTGGGGCAAGTGTCAGGGAGTAAAAAGTTGTGCCAAGTATTGTGGAAATGGAAATGATAATAATAATAATGTAACTATTGCAGCTTACTGTTTCTGAATCACTGGATTTCAGCTTAAGAGAATTTTTGAAGATATAACTCACAACTGCAATCTGTTCACATGTACACAGTAAATATTCATTTCAAACCGAAGGACAAAACAGGTATTGAGCAAACAAGAACCTCAACTATGTTTTAGAACATGTTTACTAATAGCATGTTTGTGGGTATAAATCAAGAAGCAAAATTTGCGCTAGTGGTCTTTTTGTAGTAAATGAACATTAGCTGCTAAAAATGGTAGCAATGAATAAATAAATTTAGTCAAGACTGAGTGCAATGTGAAAAAGGCATGCAATTACTTCACCTTTTTAGCTTTATTGTCTTTGTATTTAGTATTCCTAAACGGCAGAAACAAAGCAGCATATAAGTAAATCCTCCGTTGGTCATCCTAAAAACAAAGAAAAAGTATAAAAACAAATTCAAACAATGATTACATAACATGGAATCAAAATGATCTGCAGGCTGCAGTCATATAACCAAAAAAGGCAGACACCCCATGACTATCTATATACTGTAAAAAGAGAGCCTAAATCTGATAATTGATGTTCTGGTGGTTTTTTTCCCTTCTCATAATGCGCTTAGGAGCTTGATCGGGTGCACCAACACGATTTATTAACCCATGTTAATAAACAATGAGACAATTTTTCATACGATGACAATGAAACCCTTCTTGAACTAACTTTATGACAGATTTGCCTCATGAGTTCATGGCAGTGATGAACTCAAGGAAAATCATCTGCTAGTGCACACACTTACGGCCAAAG